AGACGCAAGGAGGAAAGAGAGGCAAAGGAGGAGACGGACAGGAGAACCCAGCCTAAGGAGGAAGAGCAAATACAACCTCCCTCAGAACCATCTACTGAAGATGCTCAACCCTGATAACCCCACTGCAACCAAGCACACTAGCCCAAAACCCACATGCCGAACCAACAGCCCCCACCCCCCACCACAAACTCCACCCTCACAGCATCCCATCATAGTACCTTTCCAGGTTTCTTACTTCTCCAACTACAACGTACCCTCCAGACCACAGTATTAGAAAAGAAGTTGAAGGTTTGGTACACAAATGCAGATGGAATAACAAATGTGAGTGGCATGAAGGAAGCTAAGAGATGTCCCCAGACATCATAGCACTCACAGAAATGAAACTCATAGGGGTGATCATGAATGTTATCTTTACATCAGGATATCAGATCCTGAGGAAAGACAGAGGGAACAGAGAGGAAGGAGGAGTTGTACTGTTCATCAAAAACCAGTGAGGATTTGAGGAAATAGAGGGAATGGGCGAAAGGGACTACATAGTAGAAACCGTTCAGTGTGGAGGCCCTAAGGTGGTAATTGCAGTCATGTACAACCCACCACAGAATAGCAGGAGGTCAAGAGAAAAATATGAAGAGAGCAACAAAGTAATTATGGACACACTAGCTGAGATGGCCAGAAAGGCTTACATGGGCAAGGTAAAGTTATAGGTGATTACACTCACATGAAGAATGTCTGGGAAAACCTGGAGCCTCATGGGGGATCCAAAACATGGAGGGCCAAGATAATGGAGGTGATACTGGAAAACCTCATGCATCAATATGTTAGGGACACTACTAGAGAGAGAGAGAGAGGTGAGGATGAGCCAGCAAGACTGGACCTAGTATTCACCTTCAGTAGTTCAGACGTCGAGGACATCACATACAAAAGGCCCCTCGGAGCTAATGATCACGTGGTTCTGAGCTACAAATACATAATAGAGTTGTAATAATGTTGGTAGAATTACAACTAATATGACATTGTGGCAACGTTTTGCTCTCTAGGAGCTTTGTCAAGCCGTTACACTTCGCCACCATCATCCCTTCAAGCGTCACTTGGTTACGTTACGTGGGCGACGTCCTCGTAATAACTCCCAAACGTTTTGATGTACGGAATCTTCAGACAAGTCTCAACGCAGTTGAACCGGCGATCCAGTTTACACTAGAAGAAGAGTCCAATGACAAGCTACCCTTCCTCGACGTCCTCATTCACGGTAACGGCTTGACAAAGCTCCTGGAGAGCGAAACGTTGCCACAATAAAAGTCACATTAGTTGCACTTCTGTCCTTTTACTTTACATAATAGAGTTACAAGTGGAGAGGGTAACAGGAGTAGGATGGGAGAAGCCAAACTACAAAAGGGGGACTACACAGGCATGAGGAATGTCCTGCAAGAGGTTCAGTGGGAAAGAGAATTGGTTGGAAAATCAGTAAATGGATGGACTACGTGACAACGAAATGCAAGGAGGCAGAGGAGAATTGGTTGGAAAATCAGTAAATGGATGGACTACGTGACAACGAAATGCAAGGAGGCAGAGGAGAGGTTTGTTCGCAAGGGCAACAGAAATAATGGAAAGACCAGAGCGAGCCCTTGGTTCACCCAAAGGCGTAGAGAGGCAAAAACTAAGTGCGCTAGAGAATGAAAAACTACAGAAGACAAAGGAACCAGGAAAATATGTTAGTCAAAGAGCTAGAAATTAATTTGCATAAATAAGAAGGGAGGCCCAGTGGCAATATGAAAATGACATAGCATCAGAAGCCAAGTCTGACCCCGAAGCTGTTGTATAGCCACATCTGGAGGTTAACAGTCAAGGACCAAGTAATAACGCTGAGGAAGGAAGGTGAGGATTTCACAAGAAACGACTGAGAAGTATGTGAGGAGCTCAACATGAGATTTAAAGAAGTATTTACAATGGAAACAGGAAAAACTCCGGAAAGCAGGAATAGTGCGGCACACCAGCAAGGGACACGCCAACAAGTGCTGGACGATATACACAATCGAGGAGGTTATGACGCTGCTAAGTGAACTAGATACCTCAAAGGCGGTGGGACCGGACATGTCTCCTTGGGTCTTCAGAGAGAGGGAGCAAAGACGCCGTGTGTGCCACTAACAACAATCTTCAACACATCCACTGAAACTAGGCAACTACCTCAGGTGTGGAAGACAGCAAATGTAGTCTCAATTTTTAAGGAAGGTGATAGACTAGATATGTTTAACACGCTATTTACACCCCCCCCCCTTTATTCCTGTTTTCCATTTATACACCTCGATCATATCCCCCCTAATTCTACGCCTTTCTAGAGAGTGCAGATTCAGGGCCTCAGTTTATCCTCATAGGGAAGATTTCTGATACATGGGATCATCTTTGTCATCCTCCTTTGTACGTTTTCCAGAGCATTTAAATCCATTCTGTAATGCGGTGACCAGAACTGTGAAGCATATTCGAAATTAGGCCTAACCAAAGATATATATAGTCGAACAACAACCTGAGGACTTCTTGATATGAAGCCAAGGATTCTGTTCGCTATATTGCAAACACTTGCCAGTGTCGTTGATGGAGTGATGGAGCACCTAGAAAGAAAGCTTATACACGACAGCCAGCACGGTTTCAGGGACGGGAAATCCTGTCACAAACTTATTGTAGTTTTATGACAGGGTAACAAAAATAAGACAGGAGAGAGAGAAGTGGGTAGACTGTGTTTTCTTGGACTGCAAGAAGGCTTTCGACACAGTTCCACACAAGAGATTAGTGCAAAAGCTGGAGGATCAGGCATGCATAACAGTAAAGGCACTGCAATGGGTCAGAGAATACCTAACATGGAAGCAACAACGAGCCATTGTACGTGGCGAGGTGTAAGAGTGGGCACCTGTAACGAACAGGGTTCCACAGGGGTCAGTCCTAGGACCGATGCTGTTTCTGGTATATGTGAATGATATAACGGAAGGGATAGACTCAGAGGTTTTCTTGTTTGCAGATGACGTGAAGTTAATGAGAATTAAATCGGATGAGGATCAGACAGGACTTTAAAAGGGCCTGGACAGGCTACAAGCCTGGTACAGCAACTGGCTCCTGCAATTTAACTCCACCAAAGCCATGAAGATAGGGGAAGGGGAAAGCAGACCATAGACTGAGTACAGTCTAGGAGGCCAGAGACTACAAACCTCACTCAAGGAAAAGGATCTTGGGGTGAGTATAACACCGAGCACATCTCCTGAGGCACACATCAACCAGATAACTGCTGCAACATATGGGCGCCTGGCAAATCTGAGAATAGAGTTCCGATACCTCAACCTCAGTAAGGAATCATTCAAGACTATGTACACCATGTATGTTAGGCCCATACTGGAGTATGCAGCACCAGTTTGGAACCCCCACCTGGCCATGCACTTCAAGAGATTAGAGAAAGTGCAAAGATTTGCAAGAAGGCTAGTTCCAGACCTAAAGGGATTGTCCTACGAAGAAAGGTTAAGGGAAATCGGCCTGATGACACTGGAGAACAGGAGGGATAGGGGGAGATATAACAAATAAAATTCTGCGAGGAATTGACAAGATGGATAGAGAGGGGATGTTCCAGAGAGGGGACAGAAAAAAGGGGTCACAATTGGAAGTTGAAGACTCAGTTGAGTCACAGGGATGATAGGAAGTATTTCTTTAGTCTTTGAGTTGACGTAGTGGAGTCTGGAACTACACACAGTTTTAAGACGAGGTTTGATGAAGCTCATTTAGCAGGGAGAGAGAGGACCTAGTAGCGATCAGTGAAGAGACTCTGCCAGGAGCTAGAGTTGATCCTTGCAACCACAAACAGACGAGTACAAATAGGTGAGAACACAAAACTGAATTAAACCTGCTTCACAGCCACATTAGAAGAAACCTGAGGGTATCTGGAGAGTTTATCTGGAGAGAGTTCCGGGGGTCAACGCCCCCGCGGCCCGGTCTGTGACCAGGCCTCCTTAGGTCAGTGTCCCAGGATGCGACCCACACCAGTCGACTAACACCCAGGTACCCATTTTACTGATGGGGAACATAGACAACAGGTGGAAAGAAACACGTCCAATGTTTCTACTCTGGCTGGGAATCGAACCCAGGCCCTCACCGTGTGAAGCCAGAGCGTTAACCACCAGGCCACCAGTATAAAAGTGAAGAATGGAGAGAGATCTCAAAAAACAAATAAGAAGCCTGTCGAGAGACTAACAACCCAGATGAGTTCATGACTGAGACAAAACGCGGTGGCGTTGACCCCCGGAACTCTCTCCAGGTAAACTCCAGGTAAACATCTCTCTGATCACTGATTTAACTCTACCCGCACTTGACTTCGAAGAACTCACTGATTGCATGCTCATGCACTCTGCAACTCGTGCAACTCCATATCCATCAAGATTTGCAAGAAACCCTTATGTTCCTCATATATTCAATGGAAAAGAAGCCGAAACACTGGAGTTATTTACTAACGCATCGGCAGTCTCCCACCAAGGCAGGGTGGCCTGAGAAAGAAAAACTTTCATCCACTCCATCACTGGAGTTATCCAGTCTCTAATAACACTGATATTTCCCCACTGCAAAAGGTGTGGTAGTAATGCATTGACAAAAAACTATAGACCAATAACCCTAACATCCCACATCAAGATTTTTGAAATGGTTTTAATCCAGATAACCAATCAGATGGAATCAGTAATTGCAGAACCCAGGTCAACATGGGTTCACAGCAGGTCGCTCCTGCCTTGTGTAACTGCTCGACCATTGCTGACTTGGCTAAATCCTTTGACAAATGAGACCATGCATGCAAAAGGAATGAGAGAGAGGGAGGGAGGGAGGGAAAGAGAGAGAGAAGGAGAGAGAGAGAGAGAGAGGGAGAGAGAGAGAGAGAGAGGGAGAGAGAGAGAGAGAGAGAGAGAGAGAGAAGAGAGAGAGAGAGAGAGAGAGAGAGAGAGAGAGAGAGAGAGAGAGAGAATAACGGCAACAAGACTTACAGTGTGGTAAGATTACGTAGGCCAACAAAGGCTCTTGGAGAAACATAGCTGAGACGCTGATGACTCAGGTCACTGTGGATGACACTATTATTATTATCATTATTATTATTATTATTATTATTATTATTTATTATTATTATTATTATTACTTATTTCTATAATTACATCAAGAACAAAAAAAAAATAACTGTGACTGAGATACACAAATAACCCGCAATTAGGAGAGACTTAGGACGATATTTAGGTCCGCCTTAGACCATTTATAAGTCACACTGTCAGTGATTAAGTCAGACCGAAACGTCAGACCGAAGCTTCCTTTTCTCTGTGCGGATCAATGGAGTATTATTTATTTATTAAGGAGAGCTAAAACCGTAGGGATCTTACAGGTTGGTTTAATATTTGTATTATGCACTTCATGTCCATCCTTTGGGTGGTGGTCAAAAGATTACAGAGGCACAAAATGGGTCCAGGGACTGCACTTCAACATTACAGAGGCACAAAATGGGTCCAGGGACTGCACTTCAACATTACAGAGGCACAAAATGGGTCCAGAGACTGTACCTCAACATTACAGAGGCACAAAATGGGTCCAGTGATTGTACCTCAACATTACAGACTCTAGTTCATCTACCAGAACCTGGAGTTTACCTGGAGAGAGTTTCGGGGGTCAACGCCCCCGCGGCCCGGTCTGTGACCAGGCCTCCTGGTGGATCAGCGCCTGATCAACCAGGCTGTTGCTGCTGGTACAAAATGGGTCCAGGGACTGTACCTCAACATTACAGAGGCACAAAATGGGTCCAGGGACTGTACCTCAACATTACAGAGGCACAAAATGGGTCCAGAGACTGTACCTCAACATTACAGAGGCACAAAATGGGTCCAGGGACTGTACCTCAATATTTGAGGCACAAAATGGGTCCAGGGACTGTACCTCAACATTACAGAGGCACAAAATGGGTCCAGGGACTGTACCTCAATATTTGAGGCACAAAATGGGTCCAGGGACTATACCTCAATATTTGAGGCACAAAATGGGTCCAGGGACTGTACCTCAACATTACAGAGGCACGAAATGGGTCCAGGGACTGTACCTCAATATTTGAGGCACAAAATGGGTCCAGGGACTATACCTCAATATTTGAGGCACAAAATGGGTCCAGGGACTGTACCTCAATATTACAGAGGCATCACATGCTTGGAGTGCCAGCCTAATCCCATAGTTTATCCAGGTCCGTTCGTACCTTTCCTGTCTTCTTTTAATTCACATCAATTACACACTATCTGTGAATACGAACATTTTAAACTAACTCCAGATCTGCCGTTCCAAGAAACAGTATCGGACCCAATACCGATTTGTGCGATACTCCACTAGTACTAATGTGCAGTTTTCGACTCAGTCTCTAATTGCGTAATCAGGATAGTGTAGTCAGAATTAGTTGTCTGTACAGGGAATAACAGAGTAAAGACTGTGGTGATCTGCCGGCTATGAGAAATATCTATTTGGTCTCACCTCTGCTCTAATTAAAGGTTAAGATGGATCATTTAACTATTAAATGTATGGAATATATGATCGGTACATTCAAGAAAAATGGTTTCTACCATTATTCAGTGTGCTGCAGTTAATATTTAAAAAAAAAGAATGCGTGGTTGTTCCGGATTTGTTCTGAAACCGGACGAGTATTATTCCTGGTCAGGCAGAGTGGCCAGGAGACAGGAGGTGAGGTGTTTGTGGGGCAGTACGAGAAGAACAGTGGCGGCTGGAACAAGACGTCATGGTTTAGCGCTGGTGTAGGTAGGTGGGGGTGGGTTTTTTTTGTTTTGTGAGTTTAAGCGCCCTCATGTTTACCTGTAAGGTCCTAGTGTGCAGAGGCCTGTTTACGTTTTAGGAGAGTACTCTATAGCGTCTTTTTGTCTGCTGGTAGACAGACCGGCAGAAGAAGGTGGTGGTGGGGGGGGTGTCATTGAGCCTCCCTGTTTACAAATGTTTATATATTCTGTTTAGCTCACTAGCACAATACTGTTAGTAAATGTGAACTGGAATTTAGGTGGTGATGTAGTGAAGGGGATTCTAGATTGTATATACATTATTATTAATGTATATTGTCAATACATTGACAATTCTATCAAGGTACATGCTAGCCCTAGAGTGCCTTTTTTCAGTGTTAAATGATATTACCACTAGAGAGCAGGTTCAGCAGCCTTTAAGAGGCAGGACTTTTTAAGTTACGTTGAGCCAAAAATCGTAACGTCTACCATAATATTTTTTAAGGAAAGTCATTGTAATTAGCTTTAAAAGCGAGAAATTTTCGATTTTTCTGGCGTGGCTTTAATTGGCCAGTTTGTAGGTCTCCCAGATGCCACTCCCCGCCACTTTCACTCGCCACTCCTCCCCGCCACCTTCACTCGCCACTCCTCCCTGCCACCTTCACTCGCCACTCCTCCTGCCACCTTCACTCGCCACTCCATCCCTTGCCACCTTCAACGTCGCCACTGCCTCCCTGCACCTTTCACTCGCCACATCTCCCCGCACCTATCACGTCGCCACTCCATCCTAAGCACCTTCACTCGCACTCTCTGCCACCATTCACTCGCCAACTCTACCTGCCACACTTCACAGCACATCCGTCCACTTCACTCGCCACTCCTACACAATGCGACTTCACTCGCCATCTCTCGTGCCAATTTCACTGGCCACTCCTCCCTGCCACCTCACTTCGCCACTCTCCTGCCACTTTCACTCGCCACCTTCACTCGCCACTCCTCCCTGCCACTTTCACTCGCCACCTTCACTCGCCACCTTCACTCGCCATCCTCCCTGCCACTTTCACTCCACCTTCACTCGCCACTCCTCCCTGACCACTTTCACTCGCCACTCCTCCCGCCACTTTCACTCGCCACTCCTCTGCCACTTTACTCGCATCTCCTCCCGCCACTTCACTCGCCACTTCCTCCCGTCCAACTTTCACTCGCCACTCCTCGCCGCCACTTCACTCACCACTCCTCCCTGCCACTTTCACTCGCCACTCCTCCTCTCGCAACTTTCACTCGCCATCTCCTCTGCCACCATCACTCGCCACTCCTCCCCGCTACTTTCACTCGCCACTCCTCGCATCTCGCCACTTTCACTCGCCACTCCTCCCCGCTACTTCACTCGCCACTCCTCTCCCTCACACTTTCACTCGCCACTCCTCCCTGCCACTTTCACTCGCCACTCCTCCCCGCCACTTTCACGCCATCGCCACTGCCTCCTCCCCGCCACTTTCACTCGCCACTCCCCTGCCACTTTCACTTGCCACTCCTCCCCGCCACTTTCACTCGCCACTCCTCCCCGCCACTTTCACTCGCCACTCCTCCGCACACCTCACTCCCACTTCCTCCCATCCCGCCACTTTCACTCGCCACTCCCTGCCACTTTCACTTGCCACTCCTCCCCGCCACTTTCATTCGCCACTCCTCCCCGCCACTTTCACTCGCCACTCCTCGCCACCTTCACTCGCCACTCCTCCCCGCTACTTTCACTCGCCACTCCTCTCCGCCACCTTCACTCGCCACTCCTCCCCGCCACTTTCACTCGCCACTCCCTGCCACTTTCACTCACCACTCCTCTCCGCCACTTTCACTCGCCACTCCTCGCCGCCACTTTCACTCACCACTCCGCCGATACTTTCACTCGCCACTCCTCGCCGCCACTTTCACTCGCCACTCCTCCCCGCCACTTTCACTCGCCACTCCTCCCCGCCACTTTCACTCGCCACTCCTCCCTGCCACCTTCACTCGCCACTCCTTCCTGACCACCTTCACTCGCCACTCCTTCCTGCACTACGCTTCACTCGCCACTCCCCACTGCCACTTCACTCGCCAATCCTCCCTGCCACCTTCACGACTTCATCGCCACTCCTCCCCACTTCATCGCCATCCTTCCGCACTTCTGCCACTCCTTCCTGCCACCTTCACTCGCCACTCCTCTCCTTGCCACTTCACTCGCCAATCCTCCCTCCACCTTCACTCGCATTCTCAACCTGCCACCTTCACTCGCCACTCCTTCCTGCCACCTTCACGACTCGCCACTTCACTCGCATCCTCTTCCACCTTCACTCGCCACTCCTCCCTGCCACCTTCACCTACTCCCTGCCTCACTCCCCTCTCCTGCCACCTTCACTCGCCACTCCTTCCTGCCACACTTCACTCGCCACTTCTCCACTGCCACCTTCACTCGCCACTCCTCCCTGCCACCTTCACTCGCACTCCTCCGCCACTCTCGCCTCCCTGCCACCTTCACTCGCCTACTCCACCCTGCCACCTTCACTCGCCACTCCTCCTTCTGCCACCTTCACTCGCTCACTCCATCTCTGCCACCTTCACTCGCCACTCCCACTTCCATGCCACCTTCACTCGCCACTCTCTTCCCTTCACATCGCCATCCTCCGCCACTTTCACTCGCCACTCCATATCCTGCCACCTTCACTCGCCACCTTCGCACTTCCTCGCTCTCCTCCTGCCACCTTCACTCGCCACCCTCCTTCCTACCACCTTCACTCGCCACTCTCCTTCCTGCCACCTTCACTCGCCACTCCTCCCTGCCACCTTCACTCGCCACTCCACCCTGCCACCTTCACTCGCCACTCCTCTTCCTGCACCTTCACTCGCCACTCCTTCCTGCCACCTTCACTCGCCACTCCTTCCTGCCACCTTCACTCGCCACTCCTTCCTGCCACCTTCACTCGCCACTCCTTCCTGCCACCTTCACTCGCCACTCCTTCCTGCCACCTTCACTCACCACTCCTTCCTGCCACCTTCACTCGCCACTCCTTCCTGCCACCTTCACTACGCCACTCCTTCCTGCCACCTTCACTCGCCACTCCTCCCTGCCACCTTCACTCGCCACTCCACCCTGCCACCTTCACTCGCCACTCCTTCCTGGCACCTTCACTCGCCACTCCTTCCTGCCACCTTCACTCGCCACTCCTTCCTGCCACCTTCACTCGCCACTCCTTCCTGCCACCTTTCACTCGCCACTCCTTCCTGCCACCTTCACTCGCCACTCCTTCCTGCCACCTTCACTCACCACTCCT